ACTACATTCATAAGAGTGCAGGAAGAGGAAAGTAAATGAACTTCCCATTCCTCTCTGGATGTAATATAATATATACAAATAGCTCAATTATGAATATCCAGAATATCACAGAGATGAAATATATATGACTGACAGTTAACTCTAACCAGTAAAGTTGGTTTATTTGTTACTTTCACTTTAGAACATGTTTAAAAAGGGTGTAACTATTGACTTTGTACTGTGCCTTAGATGGACGAGTTGTACTGGGATATAAGCCACAAGCAGGAATGATTTCTTTTGTCACTCGGTGGTGCATTTGTGGAATCTCAGTCTCTCGTTGAACGTGCTCCTTTGACTAGCCAGCACGTCATGGAGTGGGTGGGAGGTATTGTCCACTATTTTCCTCATCTTATATATTATAAGAGATATTTTTATATCTCTCGCGGATTTCCTCCTTCAACTTTGTTTTCATATTCTCAGTGCGTTTTTGCATCAAGTAATGAAACCGGTTTGATGTTTACCGTTTACTTTCATAGTTTGCAAAGTGCGTGTCTCTAACAGGCAAACCACTACCACACTATTGGCATACAGCTGCTCCCTTTTTAGGTAACAAATCGTCATTGGAAGCTCACACACCGCTCTCGCACTCAGACATAAGTGGGCTTAGACCATTGCTGCCCACACTAGCAAACAGAAATGCATCACTATATCACCAGTTTCACAAGATATACCAGTGTTATTGTGGAAGGTATGATAAGTCACAGCACTAATGTACTGGATTCAAAGGAATCCAGTACATTAGTGCTGCTAATGACTAAAGAGTCATTAGCAGCTGTGCGCTGCTGGGAGGCTGCAGAGGACTTGAGCTAAAACTAAAGGAAAAACCTCTGTAAATGTGCAAAGGTGTAGGATACCTTCTCTGCCAGAGTGAAAATCTTCCTCTGGTCAACACCTCCAAACTGAGCATCCACTTTCAAATACTCCTCATCCAGAGCCTGAGGGCATGAGGAAAAACACAAGATACGGTTACTGTGAATAATACTAAGCTGTGACACGGACACATCTGAGAAACTTCAACTACTGCATTGTCACAGTGTGATGACACCAGCGTCTCAATTCTATGAACAGCATTACTACCTGTAGGCCGGGGTACAGCAGACCACTCAGGAGAGGATGCTCCACCTGTTTCACCACCTCAGCTCCAGCCTTCTTAGCATCGTGCTCTGTCACCATGGAGGACAGGCGGTACACATCCAGAGTGTACTCCCTGGAAAACATGGTAACACCTACATGTTCAGTATGAGCTGCAGCTACAGGCAAGTTTTAAGAGACTGTAAAGTTGAACGAGTGGATGTCAGATCAGCCTCTGAATCAGCAAACAGACCTGCTGAGCTGGAAGTCAGTTCCTTTGACAAACTTGAGTTTATCCAGAGGCACACTGATGCTCTCCAGCATGGCCTTGATAACCTGCTCATAGTATTTGACCCTGAGCTCCAGCAGCTCCCAGGGAGCTTTCATGTTGTCTAGGTAAGCATGCAAGTCTGCAAACAGAACAGTGACCTAAGGAAAGGTAGAAGAGGGAATAAAAAGGCTGTTTTAATTTAATAGCAACTACAAATAAAACCATAGTCAGCTCTGCCACACCCACCTCACATCCAGCTTTGAGGAAGTCTGCTATCTTAGACATGGGGACAAAGTAAGCTACGTGGGGTTTGCCAGTGGTTGCTGTGCCCCAGTAAACCCTGAGCGCTCTCTCCTGAAGGACCTGCTTCACCTTCTCCTCTCCAAGGACCTCCTGCAATACACACACACACACACACACGAGCAGAAACATGTGAGTGTGACCTGTATGCTCCAGTAACAATGAGCAGCTGTCTGCGTGTCCCACCTGGAGGTTCCTGGTGATGAGGTTAAATTTCTCATCTGGACTCAGCTGATCTGCCATGGCGCTGGGTACTCCGACTATAACACAAGCACAGTGGTCATCCTCCTGGGGTTCTTAATAAGGGAGTTCCAGTTAAATTGCTTTCGGTTTATTGTTGATCTTGGCTACAGACAGGTATGACTAACATTCGCCTGACTGCCATGTTTTTTCCACTGAAACAAAACAGTAATGCATATAGATTTTGCGCGTTTTAAAAAAATTAAAAATACTGCAGCTCAGTTTGCTGTCTATAAGCCGTATTCATGTAATAAACTTCACTATGATGCTCCATAGGCTGTGCAGGCTAGCCAATGAACATAACGGTAGTTTTGAAAAAGACGCAATTAGCCGAAAAATTAAAAAATAAAAATGAAAAAGCACATCTTTCCCCGGTAAATTTGCTAAAATTCAGCATGTAGCCTACAATTTAGCTAACTTCCACCGATGAATGAAGGATCTGTTTAGCGAGAAAACCATGTGCAGCTAACGTTACCTATCTCCTGTGGTTATAATCGATTCAGCTGCTTTTTTCTAATTGCTACATTTTTTTTGTTTATCTCACAGCAATGTCGTTCTACGGTAAAACCACCCTGCACAGTAGCCGACTTACCTCAAAACCGTCTCCTTTCAAAGAGTCCTGGGTGAGAGAAACCGGCTGAACGGACCTGTCAGTGTTGCATCAGCGACAGCCCCCGCTCTGCTATCGATTCTAGGCGGAAGTAATCGAGTTCAGAGTGCAGGTCCTACCGGTTGGTAAAACTTTTTTCTTTTTTGCCCTCCAACATCCTTACACTAGGAAATGAGATTTATTGAAAAACAACGATGATAAATCATTACATTTCATATAATGATCAGAGTGTTAAAAGTTAAGTGTTAAAAGGCTCTGTCCACTTTTTTTTTGGTTTGTTTGTTTTTTAAGAATTGTCCAATCCTTGTCTGAAACTGAAAGTTTAATTCCTGTCAGAGTACAGTACTCACTTATATTCGAATTTTTTCTTCTACTCTTGTCAAGCATTTCAGAGAAAATCTTGGGAGTGATCAGGTAATTATGATCTAATTACAATTGTGATACTTAATAATTTAAAGACAATGGCAAACAAACTTTTTTTTTTCTCCCAGGGCGGCCAGAGGTTGATGGATTGTTGGGGAAATGCTGGCAATAGTTCAATGCACCAGAGAAGAGTCGCTGACACCCAAGGCAGTAGCAGTAGAACCTGAAAGATTCCTCCTCTTTAAAAAACAAAACAAAACAAACAAAAAACAGTCCTTGTTAGGACTGTAGGAAGCTTTTTACGCACTCACAAAGACAGATATATGAATTAACAGAGAAGCGTTCCAAGTGAAACTGGTCTACTAAAGTTTCTGACATCTGAATATTTGCTTAGACTCAATTCTTTCTCTTGTCAGATAAGTCTAAAGGGCCTAAAGAGTTCAGTCTGCCACTTTTAGATCTGTGCTTGTAGTAAAATTAAGAACTCATTCTGCTGTTGGAATTTGAATTTCAGTCACCTCCAGGATTTCTTGGGTGCGCTTTAAAAGTGCTCCAGACCCTCCTGTCACTGGCTAAGGCACTCGGTGTGTTGTGTGTATGACCAATCTTTTACTTTGTGATAATCTTAGATGAGTAGTTTTATGGACAAAAACCAGCAGGTCATTCAGTGTTCCCTTAGTGCTATAAGAGATGTTGGTGCACTATAACTGAAGTAATGTTGTTAAGTCCTTAAAGTCATATTCTTTTATTGTCATGACTGTATTTGAAGCTATTGTTATTTTTGTATGATACCTGATTTATATGGAATATGACTGAAGTAAACTAAAGCCTAAAATACTTAGTCAGTCATTTGTTTAATAGTAATTTAACATTATATAATTCACATATAAAACTATGAATTGTGATTTTAAATGGTTTAAAAGCATGTAGAATAGCATATGTAGGCAAGTATATTTCTCCTTTTTTTATCAAGAAGCAAAGACAAAAAGGAAAAAAATAAGAAACAAGGCAGAGTTCGGTGGTTGAATCATCCGTCCCCACCAATGCCAAAACCAAATCTACGCCCTTGGCTAATACTGTAAAAAGCAATCATTCGTTTTCTTTGTAATATCGGAACATTTGTTTTGATAAATACATAGGTCAGTATCAGGGTTCATATGAGCTATTTTAGCAGTAATGTTACACCTCCACTATGATAGTATTTAGCTGTTAATCGTGTTAGCAAGGAAGCCAGGGTTTGTAATTCATTCTTAATTTAGCCACGCTGCATGAATTTGGATGATAACATTTTTGAAAATGGCAGTTTACTTTATCGGGCAATTATAAAATCACATTTCTTAGGCTGGCTTTAAAGGAAGGAGGAAAGGTATGTATCAGGTGGCTGAGAAGAAAGATGGAGGTGGAAAGGATGTGCAAGCTATGGGACAAAGTTGCTGAGACTAGGTTAAAAAGAGGTGATGATCATGCTGTTCTTGCAACAGCATGAGAACTGACAGAGGTGAGACAGCAGAAAAGTTTTTATTTATTTTTATAAGTTAAGGAATTAAGTGAAGAACAGTGATTAATTAAACTGTTTCTTGCATTTTTGATTTAAAAATGAAGCCAACAAGGAAGCGGCAAAAAAAAGAGAACTGCAGTTCCTCTTTAAGCCACTTGAGGCTGTCTCAGAAAGAGACAGTGAAGTGAGGGGAGTGGTTGCTTTGACTGACAGGTGTGTTGACACAGGTATGTGTGTGAGCACTCGCTCTCCTCTCTCACTCTGCATCGCCTGCATCAGTCTTCTCTGTGGCCCTGCTCTTTTCCTCCTGCCTGGAAGCTCCACCTTCAGCATCCTTTATACCACCGCCTCTGTACACACATCCTAGCAGGTCTAACTACTATCTTGTAAACATTCCCTTTCACTCTTGCTGCTATCCTTCTGACACACCCACTCCACCCTCCCTTCTCTTCTTCACCTGTAGGACACTGTCCTTCGCTTTTGGATATCCTGATAGTCTTCTGTGTAAGTTGTTATACAAAGGTTTCAAATCTATTTCTTTGGAATGAACATAAAATGAGGAAATGCAAAAGAAAATTGTATAATTGAACATATGAATTATGCCAGAATATGTTTAACAGTTTATTTAGACCCATCTCATGTTTGTGCTTCCATAGTAAGTCATCTGTTGAGGGATTCTGGGCAAATAACTGTTGTAACCCACACAGATCTCATAGATCGCAATTATGAGCCCAGATATTCACAAACCAGTCAGTACCCCTGGGCTGAAATGTGCTATGTTAATAATACTGTGACATATGAAAGTACAACACACTTAAAAAAAACGGTTCTAAAATACCAGGAACAACAAAATGAGTTGGTGATGCAACTGTATGCAGTAAACTTGGGGTTTTCGGGCTCTTCCAGGACGTCGGTAACTGTTTCCATCTGGTTATCCAGACTTGCATCTTCAGTATTCAGTTCCTTTTGAAGACACAATTTCTGAAACTCGTTTTACATCCTGTTGCTTCTTTGGATTTTTTCCAACTCTCATAGATGAAAGCACCTGCCACATAAAATCTGTTATTATGCCAGCAGCAGACTTCTCATCCTGACTCACACTGATCTGAGTGAAACACAGTCATGATCGCATAATTAATGAAGAATAATCTGTGTGAGGGCTTAACACAGGACATTACGCTCAAATATTTTATTCTGTCTGTGACGTCTTTTAGTCTCCCTGGCAGAATAAAATATAATATCAGTCATCATCAGATCAACAATACCATAAAATAACCAGTTTAAATGTCTTAGGGGTCGGGGTCAGAATTTAGAGTCAGAAGTCGGGCTCCAGCCGGGGGAGCACCGGGAGGATGAGGTTCCCAAACGAGGAGTCCTGGGTGATGAAGAACCCGGAGGAGTGGACGTGAGCGTGCTGCAGGGCGGCCTTCTGTTGGGCTGCGATGTGCTGCTGCTCGGCGCTGTCCCTCACCTCCTTCAGGCTGGGTCTGGACGACAGCGGGATGTTGGCTCCGGGGCTGTTCATGGACTGGCTCTGCAGCAGCCGCCTCTTCTCCTTGTCCAACTCCGCCAGGATGGCCACACGGGTCTTGTTCTGAAAGCCCTGTCCCGGCGGGTTAGCAGCCATATTAGCTAAGCAGTTAGCAAACACCGGTTTCACGAGTCCACGAAGCACATAAAGCCGACTGCCGGGATTGCTTCTTTAGGGTATGTGGGTATATAGAATATCTTCGCTATGGAGAAACACAAAGCACGCACTGTCAGAGATAAGACATAAAATACCGCCTTTAGGCAAAGGAACTGGACAACTTCCGGCTAATAGTTCTCCTTTCAAAATAAAAGTTCACGGAAACGACATCAGTTTTTTATCGTTTTATCTTACGGCAACACGCAGATGACAACGGTTAAATGTTTATTTATGTAATGATGTTTTTTTTAAGTATGACTTCTACCAGGAAGAAAATATTCATCCAAATGTCGCCGTTTATGTGTGCGAAATAAAACCAACATTCACCAAACAGTTATTGCAATTTCGTGACTGAACACTAGATGGGATCAGTTCATTATGAATCATAAACCATGTGAATGTGAAAACTGGGTTTCACTAGAGCCACACCTGAAAATACGACGAGGACTCTCGTCATAGTTGGAGTGCAAAGAGTGGCCAAATTATATCACTAAATACACCATTAAGCAATTAAATGGATGAGTACGTAATTAAAATGGAAATAAATAAATAGTGTATTAAATACATATGTCAATTAATCTTTTTTGAAAACATATTTTATTATTTCACCATTTAATTGATTATTTCATGGTTCCTTGGCAATCTGCAATCTGTCAGCCTTACCCATTAGAGCCAGGGCACAGGGATGACGCTGATCTGGTCAAATATGTCAGCAGGTGTTTCTCAATACTAAGTACACACAGTTTGTACTTGTATACTTGCACACTCGCTTCCCCGTTTGAGGACGGGAAGACACGTCTTGGAGGCAAACAACACAGCTGATGACATAAGCTGGGCCTCATTGTGTACTTTACTCCCCCTTTCCCCTTATAAATATTTACAATAAAAATAGCAAATAACAGCCTAATTATGTTATGTTTAAAAAATATGCATAATCATAGTACGATTCTCACCTAAAGCCTCATTGATGTCAAATTACTTTGAAAGGTCATAAATTGATTTGAAAGAAGTTAGTAACGAATTATGTATCATTATATGAAATTAAACATTACTGATTAATCAAGACGACACGGTTCAGCAGATCTCTCTTAAAACGCTTAAAATACAGTTGAACTAATATCAAAACAGATCATATCACTCTTCAGCACCTAAACTGCAAACAGCTGCCTCGGGCTTCTCTAATCCCATCCACCCAGCTCTGGTTATGTTTAGGCTTCGCACTGTGAAACACCGTCAACCTAAAGTTCATTCATTCGCCTGCTGACACACTAACACTTTTCATGGAGTTCATGGTGGGTTTTTTTCCCTTTTTGGTTAATAAATTAGTATAATTTTGACTGATGCTGCGCCTCTTCTGTTACCTGTTATTACTCATGACTTTTCTTCTCCAGTGGGTTCCACTATATATAATATGGGACTAATTTCTTGTGCCGAGTTGGTAAATGGCTCATGTTTGACCTGCTGCTGAGCTGTGTAACCACTAGATGGTACTGCTGCATCGTGTCAATACAGCTGGGGTGACTTTGTTTGGACAGAACTAGGTATAATACTGAATTTTTTGTATGAAGGTATTGCTATCAATTCCACTGTCATGTTTCCCAGACCTGAATCCTTGCGAGAACCTCTGTCACATCTTCTGTGTCTAGTCCCCACACTCTCCTAGAGCTCCCTGATGCTATAATCCATGTCTGGGAGGATATCCCCTAAAACACCATCCACCGTCTCATCAGTAGCATGCCGAGGTATTAGTGAGAGTGCATCAGGTCATTATTATTACCAGAGGCCCAAACCAGTGTTTGTGCTGGCTATAAACTTGCTTCAGCTCTACAAATCCTGGACCAGAAAGACCAAAATCCCTTCCGATCATAGAGGGAGACAACTGATCAGCAATGCATCTTGGAATCTCATCCATCCACATGGGATGTGTGGATGGAGAAGAAGTTCCTTATTTTTAATCCACACAAGGAGGAAGTAAAGACTACTGCCAATTTCTTTTGCCCCACAGTGCACAATGGACATTTATCAGTTAGTGTTTATTAACATATTTTTCCTCCATCACAGTATTTTCTTAAATAGCTACACCACAGTGTAGATGGGTTCATCCCACTTGCAGACACAAATATAACAAAGATATATACACAAGTATATACATATGCACAGGAGGCGCCTGTGTGCCTTTGTCGGGATTAAAGCTTCACACATTTGGCTACAGCCTCACTCAAGAGTCAATAATAAAAAATAAAAAAACTACACAACAAATTAAAACAAGACAGCATTTACAGGATGTAGACTAAACCTGTAGTAATTGTAAGGATGTACGTTCTCTGTCCTCTTCAGCAGAGGGTAAAGAAAACGAGCATGAATGAAATAAACATTGGCAACTCAGTTGTCCGAATCAAATGCCAAAGATGTAACATTATGTATAACATATGACACTCAATGTACACATTTCCATATCGACAGATATGAAACATAATCCTCGTGATGACAGATTGACATGTGCTTCTCCAATAAAAACATATATACAGATAAACATAAACACCCATCGATAAGAGCTCCGCTTTCCATCTTCCTCTTTTTTTTTTTTCACCCGCCTTCTTCTTTCTCCAAAATGATGCGCTTCCCTTTTATAAAATGCATATGAAGCAAAGACCGCAAAGGAGGTTAAACCTGAATGCCCAGTTGGCAACAGCTTTACAGGCCTTAAATAGAGTTAAATAATCCAAGAAGCATGGCTTTCTAGAAAACATGAATTTGAAAAGGAAAAATGAAAACTAATAAATATTTAAATAATGATATCACTAAATTACAGGTGCCTGTAGTAACTTAAATTTAAAGCATTGAGAGAGAAAAGGTTTTCCCTGCCATCAGCAGCTGTCCTTATAAATAATGGAAATAATGTAGCTGCTGAATATACAGACATCAGTTATGTTTTTGAAAAATAACTGCTTTCACTCCTGTAGTGGTTTCAGTGTGACGGTGGAGTACTATTAGAAGCCCTTTAGAGCGCAGGTGTTCCTGTTTGGCCACAAGTTCAAACATCACCATTATTTATAACCTTTTATAAGAAAAGCCAGTGGGATGGGAATAAGATGAAACAGGCTGGCTGATTGGATTGTGTAAACTATGAAGTGAAAATGTAAAATTACAATTTCTATTTAAAAAAACAAAACAAAAAACCCCCGACGTTTGCATCAGCTTTTTAAAACCCCGTAAACAGGGGAACAAATTAAGGTTGTACCGCTGTTCAAGTTCCTCGTGTCGAACGCTCACATCTCAGAGCCTCCTGAGGTCGCTCACGTTCGACGTGCGTACATAGCACCATTAATACTAATGAAAACATGCTCTTAATGCTTTTCATAGTTCTTGTGTGATTTTTGACTCAGAGAAAGACCAACTAAACAAAGAAAACGAAAAGGATCTTTTCACAGTACATCTAAAAAATAAGGCTTTTTTTCCCCACGAAGAACAGAAACAGAAGTGTGCCAGGAAAATATCACAGATTCACAGATGGGAGGGTTGTCTTTAGAAAAGGCCTCAGGGTGGCTGAAACAATGACACTTGAGTGAATCAAGTACTTCTGGAACAGCAGCAGCAACAGCAGCATTAGTGGACGAGGCAGTGATCCGACAGTCGCGGGTCTGTTGGTGCCGTCCGGTGCAAAAGTGCCATTCGTTCACCCCACTGGTCTGTCTGGAAAATGAGCTAGACCACGTTGACTAGTTCTGCTGAGTCCGTTTCAGAGTCCGCCTCATTCTCCCTGTGAGACGAGAGACTTCGGTTGGAGGGTTGCCTCACACAGATACAACACACACACAGAAGATGGTGAAGCGTTTGGGTCTGTGCACTTACCTCAGGTCCTGTAGGAGTTTGCGGTTAGCTTGCCTCTTCTCCTCATTGATCGGGTAAGAGTAAATTATGGACAGGCCAATCGCCATCAGAGCTATGGGTGCCGCCGAAACCAGTAATTTCAACGTCAAGTCCACTTCCTTAGGTTGAGAGCAGCCTCGGCTGATGTAACCCGCAAAGCTAAAAAGAAGAGAAATAAAATTATTAGCTTTTAGCGCAGCAGAGATATTGATGTGCAGGAAAAGTAACAAATTACTCATCAAATGAAAAACACTGCTGTGGTTACTCATGTGATATGTACCCACATGCACTCTACAGCCTCACTGTAATCTAATGGAACGGAAAGGAACTCCTTGCTTTGATGTGGGATTTTAGGTGCTGAGAAATTCAACTAAACAAATAGCTGCAAATGCTTAAACTTGGTGCCAGTGCTTACTCTAAACTAAGAGTAGAGATGCCGAGAGAGACTCCAGAAGCAAACTTGGTGAAGAAGACATAGAAGGAATAGAAGAGCGCTTCGTGGCCGGTGAAGTCGGGATTTTGCACTTGGAAGTCGTCGACGACATCGGGCAGCATAGACCTGAACAAACAAAATGTGAGGCTTGCTCATTTATGTGCATTCCTGATAAGAAAAAACGTTTTTATCTATAAAGTCATCAAATACGAGCCAGCGGAGAGGCATACCAAGGTAGCAGGAAGGCGACAGCCACTCCAACGCCAGCAGCAAAGGAGCAGATGTAGGTGACAGCCAGGTTACTCTTCAGGGACACCACCAGGATCATGAAAGGAATCACAGCCTGGAAATGACAGCAGTGAGAGATTTAAATCCCAAAACAGGTCTCTTAATGATACTGCATCAGTTTTCCTATGAAAGAAAAATTCCCCTAAGTTTTACGGTTTGTTTATACTTTTAACAAGATTTCAGGGACTTACCAGTGTGCCAACGTAAACCGCTGTCTTCTTTCCAAAACGAGTCAGAAACCACTGCCAGAAGGGAATGGCCAGAGTAGCGGAGAGCTGAAAGAGGAGGGGAACAAAAAAACAAGTGTGGTTAACCAACTGTTTTACCAAAACTCAGAGAAGTTCCTGTAAGTTTCTCCAACGCCCCTCCGTATTCCAGGTCAATATCGGGAAAAACAACAACAAAAACCCTACTTTATCTGTGTTATATAAAAGAAGAGAAGCATGTTAGACATCTGATGCAGTCACAAAGCACTTCAGATATCATCTGACCTAAAGAGGACATGAAGAGGCGGGACAGCCCCCAGATCGTCGTGGGCTTTGACCTGCGCGTGTTT